ATTCAAGAGCTTAAAGTGGTGCAAAGGAGAACTATTGGTCGCACTGGAATATTCAGTCTAAATTTAAGAGAACCTTGGCTTTTCAGCCAGTACCGGTGGGGTCAGAGAGGTATTTAGATGTACAATGTAGTACGCAATGATGGGAAACATTAATGCAGAATATAAATGTTGAATGGGACAAGGGAACACATTTAACCAGAAGGTGAATTGAGGTCTCAAGAAGAATTAACTCTTCATGCGAGAAAAGTAAAATAAGTATAAGTATTTTAGGAGAACTCCAGATACTAAAATCAGGGAAGTATTTCTCAAATGATGGGTTACCATATAGGGGTTTATTTTTGGAAGTGGAGGGTGCACAAGTGCCAAGACAGTGAGGCAACAAGCGACCTGTGAATTCTTTTCGGAGAGAGAAAAACTTGAGAACGACCTTCCTCATCCATCACGAACTTCTGTACGAAAGTCAAATTATTTTGTAACAAACTCATTAATACTTGACAGTGCACAAGAAAATATGGCCAAGGCAACTTTTAATTCACCTCATTATTACCATCTATAGATGTAAAAAGTTCCAAGGCAAAGGCTTCCAGATAAAGTTTCAAATATAGATTTGATTTAATAGCTTATTTCTGTCACGATTACCAAGCTGCATTCCTTGCATGTGAATTCAATGGTGAGTTATATTTATTTTAATCAGATCATTTCCAAAACCAAGTGGAGGTTTGTGAACCGGATAGCTAACATTATCAATTGGAAAGATAATCTCGGGATATCAAAATTCCCCAGTAGCCACAACCCCCACCACCTCAATTAAAGGGGGTAAAACTACAGTTTTTTTTTGGTGTTTTCTACACAAAAGCTCAAAGAAAGGTCCTTTGCTGACTTGTTAGGATTCTTTTAAGAGGAAAAAAAATCTATAGAAACCTTAGTAAATAACAGTTTTCTTAATCTATGTTTGAAGAATAATTCAAGTCAGAGAATGTCAATTTTAATGACTGAACAGATAACCTCAAAGCAAGAGACAGGTTGCCTTTTATAAAGTTGTCATTTTGAAGAGGAGACTTCCAGCAACAGATATCTATTATAGTTAAAAGACATATTTTAACTGGCTAAGTGGCAAATATACACAAAATAGCAGCTATGCAACTTACACTGCATACAACTAAAACAAAGGGAAATAGGATTTTACTTTTTGTTAATAAATTATGCTTTAAAATATATACTGCAAATTTCACACTCCTAATGGACACATAGAGTGAAATCTTAAAGCATCCTAGTTCTAAGAAAAAAAAACTTACTGTCCTGTCTCCATAAAGAAGATCCCTGCCCTTTCGACTCTGCAAACTGTACAGCAATTTCCAATCTGTCTGGACAAATCTGGTAGCTATCAAACTGCTCAGAGACAGTAACAGCTAAAAATAAAGCAAAAATCCTTTTTAAAAGAAGTCAACATGCTAAGCTAGCAATTCAGTTAACTCAACAAGAATAAATACATAAAATGATGTAGTTGCAATGTTACAACACTGACTGTTCAATTTCTATAGTAATTCTGTGCTCTGGAAAGACACAATGTGATTTTATTTGGAGTTGCAACACACTAGCAGGTGGGATCAACACAGGGCAAGACCACCACCTCATCTAATGCTGTGCTTACACCTCTTTTGCAGGGCCAAGGTCATACAATTTCTAACAAGTAACAAACCACAAAAGACAATATTTCTCAAAATTGATTTGACTTTTAGATGAAAGTTGCAGCACCAACCTTCATAGAAGTACCCAACATAGTCAGGAGACAAAGTGAAAGCACTACAACTAACATTTCATGCAACAGCACCCCATATTTCTGGGATTCCCAACTTTTAGTGCAAAAGTTTCAAAATTAGCCCCATTGCTGGGATACTATGATTGGTTAATCACAGTTTCAACGATCAAGCAAGGCTTGGTTATGCTTCACTGAAATCGTTGTTAGGCACAATTCTACTTTCATCATTAAGCATTTGGGATGGGCAGGGGGATAGTGGAAAGTCTGCAGATGTATTGCTTCCTGACATCACTAGTTTGAGAATATAATGGACCTATAATGAAAAAGCACCCCAGCTTAATTGTGACTTTTACCTCCTCATTCCCAGAGGACACAGGAAGCATTTTTAAAAGTTGCCTTTTATTCTGTCATGGGATATGGGGACTGTTTAGGCAAGCATTTGTTGCCCATCCTTAGTTTCACAAAAAACAAAAAAAAAAAAAAAAGGTAGTGAGCCACCTTCTTGAACTGCAGCATTCTAGGTGGTACAGATACAGTACATCTATGTTCTGATGGTCAAGATCCTGGACAGGTGGCTAAGTGAAAAAGAAGAAATGATGATTTCATCCAAGACTTCAATGCTTTTGCTACCAAATTTCCACTAGCAGACTTCAAATGAACTAAAAATGCCAGAAATTAATAGATGCCTGGGAAGTCCAATTGTTACTGCAAAATCCTAGATAGTGGCAAATTGCCAGGTTTTTTTCTGATTGCAGATTGTTGCTCTAAATTTTTATATCAGAATTACTACTTTGAGTAGTCCTACAAAAGTCATAAAACGTTCAAGGCACCATGACAGAAGAAGTGTATCATACGCTACAAAAAAAAAGTTATTCCTTAATCTGTTCTCACGTCCTATTCCTGCAAATAATCGATTCACATGTACGGATGAAGAACTTTCATGCATTACAAAAGGAATGATAGAAACAAGCAGCACTTGGTTTTCTATAGATTGAGATCAATAATCTGGAACTGCCTCCTGGATAGAGGAGTGGAGATAGAAATTGTGGAATCATAATTCCACATTATAATGGAGGAGAAAATCAGATGCTATTTTGGGTGAGAATCAAGACAGATGTGAAAATAACCATGTTTCAGAGACAGTAGGAACTGCAGATGCTGGACAATCTGAGATAACAAGGTTTAGAGCTGGATGAACACAGCAGGCCAAGCAGCATCAGAGGAGCAGGAAGGCTGACATTTTGGGCCTAGACCCTTCTTCAGGGTCCCTTCCCTAGACCCTTCTGATGCTGCTTGGCCTGCTGTGTTCACCCAGCTCTCCACCTTGTTATCTCTGTGAAATAACCATCCTCAGTTATACTTATACTGTCAATTTCCTAAATTGTCCCTTTTGTTTCACCATTAAATCACCCTGATTGATGGCGTCGGCCAGAAAATTGAAAGTGAAGAATATATATTTGCGAAGAGATAAACCATGCGTGTTCAAAAACACTGTTTCCAGAATGGAAATGCAGTGGGCAAGGTCCATTCAAGACTGATTTCTAAATCAAGAGTTATGGGAAATTATAGTTGAGGATTATCCAGTCATGATTTCCTTGAATGGGCTGATTGGGTGGATTGAATGGCCTACTTCAGCTCCACATCTTAAAGTGCTATGGCCGAAGAAGTGAGAAATGAAATTCATCCTTGACACTTACTGCAGAGTGCATGTATGGTACCTGTTTAAAATACAGTTTACAAGAAACATACTGTGACTGGTACCACTGACCCATGCTTTCTGGAACTGGTCAAAGCTTTTCTACTCGTTTGGTAAACACAGTCAAGTGGACTGGGCCAGCAAAGGCATCAGCACAGTAAACTCAATTTATAGTCCACAGAGCTTAAGATATATTAAATCAGATCACAGCTGATCAAACCTGTACTGCAACCTCAAAAACTTATCCTTATCCAAAAAGTCCAGCTAATTCAGTCAATCCAATATGCTCAGTTTCTTGGGCAAGAGAACCAGATTTCCACAAACTTGTGTGGAGGACAAAAAGTAATTCCTAACTGCACACTCAAATGGCCTAGTTCTAAATTTTAAAAGTGTATTCTTGTTTTAAGGAAGGAATTTCTCTGCAATCTATCAAACTCATTTTGAAGGTCTCAATCAGATCTTAGTGTTCTAAATGCAGGGGGAAAACAAATGAAGCTTATGTAAATTATCTTCGACGTAACACTTCATTTAAGCCCTGGTACCAGTCTGGTGAAACAATGCTGTACTCCTTCCAATATCAATGCTCTGCAGTTCAGAGCCCAAAACCGATTCCAGTACTGCGTATGGTGTCTGAACAAGGTTCTATGCAAGTGAAGCATTAATTCCTCATTTTTACAGCCCAGCACCCTTGAAATAAAGCTTGATGACCTATTTGTCACTTCTTGCACCCGTAGATTACCTTTTAATCAATCCAAACGTACACACTTGGTCAATTTGTTGATCAGCCTGTTCAGTTACTTCCCTGTTTGTAGAAGTAAGAGAACCCCAACAGATAGTGCCAGAAAGGAGAGACCATGCTCCATTCTTATTGCCAGTCTTTTGTAGCATCAGCAGCAAGTTCCTGCCTTTATTGCTGATTACAAAATTTGGGTCAACATTTATTATTCACAAAGTTTCACAGCTTTTTGCCCAGTATCCCAGAAAAAATAAAAAGCACCAAATGTAAAAAGTTCAGACAGGTATATGCCCAAGTAAATGCATGGCTCTATGTTAGTCACTCCCAATCCTTACTTTTAAAGAATAAAGGGCTCTTTTGTTGTGGAAAGTGAACACAGGCTGGCAAAATATCATTGCCACTTTTACCACTGCTTCAGTGACTGTAACAGTTTGCAAACTTAAAATATAATTTACACCACCTTGCCAAGTCAAATTAAACATGCATCAATGCAAAGCTGCAGATTTAAACCTGTGAAAACATCAAGACCAACACCAGAGGAACTAGATCTTACCTGCGCCATTCTTGTGCTTCTTGTGTCCAGTCTTTCTTTTAGAATTCGACATTTCTGGAGGAGTAGGTTGCTTGGTAACTGGGAAGGGGTCACTTTTCTTTGCTGCAGGTTTTAAGCCATCAGGGTCTCTGCCCAAAGGTTCTTCCAACACAGGTCTCGATTTTTTGTCTTTTTTCTTCCTCTCTTTTAATCCAGCTGAAACTTCAACTACAGGTAACACAACATGAACGGGCGGTTCATCATCTGGTGTCAAAGCATCCATCAATTCTAAGTCTCGCGTTGCACTCTCTGAATCAGATTCATGCAAGTTCTCATTTGGATTCTCTTTCTTCTTATTCTTTTTCTTCTCACTTTTCTTTTTATCCACTTTTGCTGGAACAAATTTCACATCTCTTTTTTGTTTAGCGAGTATCTCATCATACGAAGTTTCTTTCATAAATAGCCAGAAGAACAGAAAAATTATGGCAATTACCACTGCTGGGATGATGATGAGCAGGTACTGAGAATCGTAAAATTCCATGTTTCTGGCTGTCTACTGCAATGTCTAAAAGAGAGGGGAAAAATATCAATTAAAAGTAAAATCACAACTGACATCAGGATTTACAGGTCGCTTTTAGCAACACAGGATGGAGTAGACTAGTTTTTTTTAAATGCAAGAACAATACTAGTTCTTCGAACAAAAACACACAGCTGCACTATTTTAAAAACAGCATTTGAAAGCCAAGTAAATAGGTTTCTTACACATACATTACACAACAGTTCAAGACTTGAAGATCTTAATTTTTCTGCTTTCCTAAATGTTACAATTTAACTTTTTTTGTTTTGATACAACATGTAAAGATTTTAATTATTCTACTAAGCACCACAAAGTTGGAGCAAAACTACATGCAAGTCCCCAGAGTTTTGGAAGTATCTCTACACGCTGTATAGTAAAAATATAAACTCCTGATTTAGTTGTTTAATTGTTTGACTTAAATGGACTTGCTCACTAGGCAAACGTTTGTTATTCATTTCTAATCGCCATTGTAAGAAGGCTGCTTGCCACCTCAAACATAAAAGCCAGGACCAGCAGTAGCCCATTAGGCCCTTGAGCCTGCTCCACCAAGAACATAGATGATCTGACTGCAACTTCAAATTCCTACTCCATCTACTCCAATAATCTTTTAACTCTTCACTTAAGTAGCTATCCATCTCGACCTTAAAACAAATTCAAAGCCTCTGTTTCTGTCAGTTTTTCAAGAAGAGTATTCCAAAGACACAACATTCAAAAATAATTCCCCTCACATGGCTTAACTGGGTACTCCTATTTTTAAACTGTGCCTTCCACAGTACAAAACCTCCTTTCAACATCAAC